GTTAACATCATCCCTGGTGGCTTTCACTTCTGCCCTAGTCAATTCCATTTTGACATTAAAGGATTTCTCCAACCTAGCTATTGCCTGGATAATTGTTAGCCTGAATTCCTTTCTGACATACTGTTTATGTCCATATCCAATAGTTCTGATGGAGAGGGCACAGTCTCTGAATTTTTCCTCTGTTGGGAATTCCTCCTCCTAGTCATTTTGGTGAGAGATGGCTGAGGCATGTGTAGCTGAATGTATCACTGGTGGTCCAGTCAAGGTGCACCCTGGAATGCCTCTGAGCAATCCAGAGTCCACACCAAAAAGAAAGAATGAAGAAAAAAGAGAAAGAGAGAAAGGAACTAAAAATAAAAAAGAAAAGAGAAGACCCAGCCCAAATGGGACCCAAAGGTAAGATTTATAAAGCATACAAACAAAAACAGTCAAAAAGACCAACAAAAGTAAATGACAAGAAAAAAAGAAGAATCAAGCCAAAATGAACCCCAAGTATAAGATTTATATACTACCAGAACAAAAACAAATACACAGAAACATTGACAGAAAAAAAGATGGGATGGTGGTTATAAATTCTCAGTTGGGTGAAGAAGTTTATTTTGATTCTTCCTGGCTGTATCTTGATATTTTTTTAAAGGACTCAACTTTCCCAAGATAAAGGGGGATTAAAACTGGTTTATAGGGGCATCTGGGTGGCTCAGTGGGTTAAAGCCTCTGCCTTCGGCTCAGATTATGATCCCTCGGTCCTGGGATCAAGCCCCACATTGGGCTCTCTGCTCAGCAGGAAACCCGCTTTGCTTCCTCTCTCTCTGCCTGCCTTTCTGCCTATTTGTCTCTGTCTGTCAAATAAATAAAATCTTTTTTAAAAAAATGTTGTTTTTATATGTAAGGGTAGTATTGACTGGGGAAAGAGGATTAACCTTGAAGCTTATCTCTATATGAATATTTTTTAAAAATAGAAAAGCAAAAGAAAAGCACAGGTATATGTATCCAAAAAAGTTCAAGTTAAAAGGTTATTATGGAATTTGTTGCACTTAACCTCTCATTGTGATGGTAAATAGGTTAAAAATTATATTAAAAAAAAAAAAACCTAAAACGAACAAGAATAGTGGGAACAAACTAAAAATGAAAGTTGTATCTATGAAGTACACAGGCTTTAGGGCAATATTGGGAACTTAATATCTTCTTTTCCCCTGATAAGGATTTTATAGTTTTATGGGGACCCTGTGGTGGTTGCCCTCTTGTTTTTTGGGGTTTGTTTGTTTTTTGCTGGCTTTCTGGGGGAGGGGCCTGCCTCATGGTTTTTCAGGTAGTCTTGCCAGTTGAATCCTCCTGCCCCCTATCAAGGAGCTGGGCTCTGAGGAAACTGGTTTTTCAGGCTTTTGTTCTCTGGAGGGTTTTTTCTTCTTCTTTTTTCCCTTTGGCGGCTTTCAGCAGTTCTTTGGAGGTTTAGAGGAAAGAAAACTGCTCCCAGACCTCCATCTCAGGGAGAAGCCTCAGTCTGTTCCCCTCTGGGTGGTCCAGAGCACACAGAGTCCCCTCTGCCACCACCCACCAGCAGAGCACATCCACATCCCCAGACACAGTCTCAGGGGTCACAGGAGCTCCTGCTTGTACCCAGTGCTACCAAAACCAGGGGAAGTATTAGTCCAGAGAGCTGGGTTCCAGTGGCTGTCAACACCATGGATTTCTGGGCAGGTCCAGACCACTGGAGAGGTCCCAACCAGAGATAGCACACTGAGATTTTCATGCTGGCCCAGGCTGGGAGTGTTCAGACTCTCACTGGTCCTAGAGAGCACTGGCTAGCACCTGCATGGACTTCTCCCAGGGGAAGGTGTGGAGTGCAATTCAGACCCTGGTCTCACAGTGCGTGTGCAGAGTGCAAAAGGCTGTGGTTCTAGAGAGTGCTGGCCAGTGTTCACACCAGACTCTTTCATGCATGCTGCCTCACAGATGCTCTCATTCACAATGGCGGCTCATGGAGCAAGGCCTGGCTTCTTCGCTGTGTTCTCTCTGGTTCAGCACCAGTGGTGGCAGTCCTGGGTCTGTGGGTTTAAGTCCCTGTCCCTAACCACCCAATTCCACCAGTTTCCCCTTAAGATCTTTTTCTCTTTTTCAGTGATTTTAACCAGACTCCAAGTTAATGCTGGCCCCCAATCAGAGGGCACTCTCGTATTGGGGTAATACTTTCCAATGGGTCACTTCTGGTGGCCCCCTCCCCCTTTTGTTTATCTTCCAATATCAGTCTGATATTCCCACTCTGCTTTACCTTTCCACTGGTGTCTTCTGCCCCTGTAGAGATCCATAAGTGTATAATCCTAATCTCAGGCTGGTTTCATTTGTGATCAGAGTTCTTAGTTAGATAATCAGCTCAGTTTAGGGGACCGGTTGAAACAGTGCCTCCTACTTCTCCACATTCTTGCCCCCTATGTATGTTTTTTGGAGTTCCAGAAGAACAGAGAATGGGGCAGAATCAATATTTAAAAGGTAATGGTTGAGATCCTTTCAGAATCATTGAAAGTCATCCACACATTCTAAGTCCAATAAAAGTCAAGCAGAATAAATAAAAATAAATTTACATATGGACACAACTGAATAAAATTGCAGAATAGCAATCTCAAAGAGAAAATCACAAAAATGTTAGAGTGACAGAATAATATCTTCATAGATGTAGCACTTTAAACTCAGTTGATTTTCAGTAAGAAAGGAACAAAACCAGAAGACAGAACAATGCTATTTTCAGTGTGCTGAGAAGAAATAACCAACTCCAAATTTCTGTGTCAGTGAAAACATCTTTTGGGGATGAGGGTGAAATAAAGATACTTTTAATAAGCAAAACCTGGGAGAGTTTTCCCTCAGATATATTTCAAGCAGGAGGAAATTGATCCTATATGTCATATGTGGCATGCAAGAAAGAACAGACAAAGCCATTGTGTAAAGGAATCAAAACAAATATATAAATTTTAACAAAAATACAATCTTATGTCTTTGAAAACAGGAATTAAAATACATGACTAAATTAGCATATATGTTGAAAGGATTGTAATTAACTAAAGTCTTTGAGTGGTAGGAGAATAAATGTATACATTAATATGGTATCTTATATATTGAGAATGGATATTAAAATGTCAAGGGTAACAACTGAAGAAAAAAATCAAAATCCATAATTTCCAAATTAGATGAAGACTAAGTATGTAATAAAAATAGATTGATTAGGGGTGTCTGGGTGGCTCAGTGGGTTAAAGCCTCTGCCTTTGGCTCGGGTCATGATCCCAGGGTCCTGAAATCGAGCCCCGCATCAGGCTTTCTGCTCAGCGGGAGCCTGCTTCCTCCTCTCTCTCTGCCTGCTTCTCTGCCTACTTGTGATCTCTGTCTGTCAAATAAATAAATAAAATCTTTTTTTAAAAATCCATTGATTAAAAATTTAAAAAGGGGGAAAAGGATAATTAGAAAGCACAACATGATAGATTTAAATCTAAATACAACAGTTATATTAAATAAAATTGTTTTAAAATAAATTTTTTTTTCACTTGCAACACTGACTGTATTGGTAGGGGGTTAGGGAAACAGTGGAAAGAGAAATACAAAACTAGGTAGAGAGACCGGGCATTGCAGGGACCAGGACCCCCTAGAACTCCTCACTTTCATCTTCGCCGTCTATAGACTCTGTTCCCACTTCTTCATAATCCTTCTCCAGGGCGGCCAGGTCCTCCCGAGCCTCTGAGAACTCTCCTTCCTCCATGCCCTCGCCCACATACCAGTGCACAAAGGCCCATTTGGTGTACATCAGGTCAAACTTGGGTCGAGGCGGGCCCAGGCCTCAGAGATGGCTGTGGTGTTGCTCAGCATGCACACGGCCTGCTGCACCTTGGCCAGGTCGCCCCTGGGCACCACTGTGGGGGGCTGGTAGTTAATGCCAACCTTGAAACCTGTGGGACACCAGTCCACAAACTGGATGGTGCCCTTGGTCTTGATAGCGGCGATGGCGGCGTTCACGTCCTTGGGCACCACTTCCCCACGGTACAGCATGCAGCAGGCCATGTATTTGCCATGGCGTTCACGTCCTTGGGCACCACTTCCCCACGGTACAACATGCAGCAGGCCATGTATTTGCCATGGCGAGGGTCACACTTGACCATCTGGTTGGAGGGCTGGAAGCAGGTGTTGGTGATCTCTGCCACTGACAGCTGCTCATGGTAGGCCTTCGCGGCCGAGAGGATGGGGGCATAGGTCACCAGGGGGAAGTGGATGCGGGGGTAGGGCACCAGGTTGGTCTGGAACTCCGTGAGGTCCACGTTGAGGGCCCCGTCAAAGCACAGGGAGGCCGTGATGGAGGACACGATCTGGCCGATGAGCTGATTGAGGTTGGTGTAGGTGGGGCACTCGATGTCCAGGTTGCGCCAGCATATGTTGTAGATGGCCTCGTAGTCCACCATGAAGGCACAGTCTGAGTGCTCCAGGGTGGTGTGGGTGGTCAGGATGGAGTTGTAGGGCTCCACCACGGCCGTGGACACCTGGGGCACGGGGTAGATGGCAAATTCCAACTTGGACTTCTTGCCGTAATCAACAGAAAGCTGCTCCATCAACAGGGAGGTGAAGCCTGAGCCAGTGCCACCCCCAAAGCTGTGGAAGATGAGGAAACCCTGAAGGCCGGTGCACTGGTCTGTCAGTTTTCGGATTCGCTCCAGCACAAGATTGATGATCTCCTTCCCCACAGTGTAGTGGCCTCGGGCATAGTTGTTGGCAGCGTCCTCCTTGCCAGATATCAGCTGCTCAGGGTGGAAGAGCTGCCTATAAATGCCAGTTCTTACCCCATCTATGATAGCAGGCTCCAGGTCCACAAAGACAGCCGGGGCACATGCTTGCCAGCCCCGGTCTCACTGAAGAAGGTGTTGAAGGAGTCATCGCCACTGCCCATCGCCTTGTCACTGAGCATGGTGCCATTGGGCTGGATGTCGTGCTCCAAGCAGTAGAGCTCCCAGCAGGCAGTGGGCCATGACTTCTTCAACCGGTATCGAGTGCTGGTCAAGAAGAGAGAGCTCGCCAACACAGACAAAAAGGCCATCTGCAGGTCTGTCCGGGAGAACCTCATCAAGGATCCCGACAAGTTCCAGTTTGGCCGCACCAAGATCTTCTTCCGGGCAGGCCAGGTGGCCTACCTAGAGAAGCTTCGCGCCGACAAGTTCCAGGCAGCCACCATCATGATCTAGAAGACGGTCCACGGCTGGCTACAGAAGGTGAAATACCGCAGGTTGAAGGCGGCTACCTTAACTCTGCAGAGGTCCTGCCGAGGACACCTGGCCCGCAGGCTAGCAGAGCAGCTGCAGAGGACCCGAGTGGCCGTCATGTTCCAGAAGCATTGCCGCATGCAGAGGACCCGCGTGGCCTACCAGAGGGCGCGGAGGGCCGCTGTCATCATCCAGGCCTTCACCTGTGGCATGCTGGTGCGGAGAAGCTACCGGCAGGTCCTCATGGAGCATAAGGCCACCGTCCTCCAGAAGTACGTGCGGGGCTGGATGGCACGCAGGTGCTTTTGGCGACTACAGGGTGTGGCCGTCGTCATCCAGTGCGCCTTCCGGATGCTCAAGGCCAAGCAGGAGCTGAAGGCCCTCAAGATCGAGGCCCACTCCACAGAGCACCTGAAACGCCTCAACGTGGGCATGGAGAACAAGGTGGTCCAGCTGCAGCGGAAAATCGATGACCAGAACAAAGAGTTCAGGACGCTGCCGGAGCAGCTGTCGGCGGTCACCGCCACGCACACCATGGAGGTAGAGAAGCTGAAGAAGGAGCTGGCCCGCTACCAGCAGGGCCACAGCGGGGACAGCAGCCTGAGGCTGCAGGAGGAGGTCGAGAGCCTGCGGGCTGAGCTGCAGAGGGCCCACTCAGAGCGCAAGATCCTTGAGGATACCCACACCAAGGAGAAGGAGGAGCTGAAAAAGCAAGTTGCAGTCCTGGAGCAAGAAAACGCTCTCTTAAAAGATGAGAAAGAACAGCTGAACAACCAAATCCTGTGCCAAGTGAAAGATGAATTTGCCCAAAATTCTGTCAAGGAGAATCTGATGAAGAGAGAACTAGAGGAGGAGCGCTCCCTGTACCAGAACCTTGTGAAGGAATATTCGCAGCTGGAGCAGAGATATGACAACCTCCGGGATGAGATGAGCATCATCAAGCAAACCCCAGGCCACAGGCAGAGCCCATCAAACCAAAGTAGCTTAGAGTCTGACTCCAATTACCCCTCCATCTCCACATCTGAGGTCGGAGACACAGAGGACGCCCTTCAGCAGATGGAGGACATTGGCCTGGAAAAGGCGGCCATGGACATGACGGTCTTCCTGAAGCTGCAGAAAAGAGTGCGGGAGCTTGAGCAGGAATGGAAGAAGCTGCAGGTGCAGCTGGAGAAGAGAGAGCAGCAGGACGGCAGGAAGGTGCAGGGGGAGCAAGCGAAGAGTGACCTAGACTAGGACCAGAATGCAGATCTAGCCTACAATAGTCTGAAGAGGCAAGAGCTGGAGTTGGAAAACAAGAAGCTGAAGAATGAATGACCTGAATGAGCTGAGGAAAGCGGTGGCCGACCAAACCACCCAGAACAACTCCACCCACGGCTCCCCGGACAGCTACCACCTGCTGCTGAACCAGCTCAAGCTGGCCAATGAGAAGCTGGAGGTTCGCAAGGAGGAGGTGCTCATCCTGAGGACCCAGATCGTCAGCGCCGACCAGCGCCAACTTGCCGGCAAGAGCAGGGAGCCGAACATTAATGCCAGAACAATTTGGCCTAATAGTGAAAAGCATGTAGATCAGGAAGACGCCATTGAGGCCTATCACGGGGTCTGCCAGACAAACCGGCTGCTGGAGGCACAGCTGCAGGCACAGAGCTGCGAGCAGGAGGAGGAGGTGGAGGGCCTCAAGATGGAAGATGGAAGCCCTGAAGGAGGAGCTGGACAAGCAGCAGCAGACCTTTTGCCAGACGCTGCTGCTGTCCCCGGAGGCCCAGGTGGAGTTTGGTGTCCAGCAGGAGATCTCCCGGCTGACCAACGAGAACCTGGACCTTAAAGAACTGGTATAAAAGCTGGAAAAGAACGAGAGGAAGCTCAAGAAACAACTGAAAATTTACATGAAGAAGGTCCAGGACCTAGAAGCCACCCAGACACTGGCCCAGAGTGAGCGGAAGCGACATGAGCTCAACAGGCAGGTCACCTTCCAACTGAAGGAGAAGGACTTCCAGGGCATGCTGCAGTACCACAAGGAAGACGAGGCCCTTCTCATTCGGAACCTGGTGACAGAGCTGAAGCCGCAGACGCTGGCGGGCACCGTGCCCTGCCTTCCTGCCTACGTCCTCTACATGTGCATCAGGCACGCCGATTACGTCAACGATGACCTCAAAGTGCACTCTTTGCTGACCTCCACCATCAACGGCATTAAGAAAGTCCTAAAGAAGCACAACGAGGACTTCAAGATGACATCATTCTGGTTATCCAACACCTGCTGCCTCCTTCACTGCTTGAAGCAGTACAGCGGGGATGAGGGCTTCATGACTCAGAATACACCCAAGCAGAATGAGCACTGTCTTAAGAACTTTGACCTCACCGAATACCGCCAGGTGCTGAGTGACCTTTCCATTCAGATCTACCAGCAGCTCATTAAAATTGCCGAGGGTGTGTTGCAGCCTATGATAGTCTCCGCCATGTTGGAAAATGAGAGCATTCAGGGTTTCTCTGGTGTGAAGCCAACTGGCTACCGGAAGCGCTCCTCCAGCATGGTAGATGGGGACAACTCCTACTGCCTGGAAGCCGTCATCCGCCAGATGACTTCCTTCCACACGGTCATGCGAGACCAGGGCTTGGACCCTGAGATCATCCTGCAGGTGTTCAAGCAGCTGTTCTACATGATCAACGCCGTGACCCTCAACAACCTGCTGCTGCGGAAGGACATCTGCTCGTGGAGCACCGGCATGCAGCTCAGGTACAACATAAGCCAGCTTGAAGAGTGGCTTCGGGGAAGGAACCTTCACCAGAGTGGAGCCGTCCAAACCATGGAACCCCTGATCCAAGCAGCCCAGATCCTGCAGCTAAAGAAGAAAACCCCGGAGGATGCGGAGGCCATCTGCTCCCTGTGCACCTCTCTCAGCACGCAGCAGATTGTCAAAATTTTAAACCTTTATACTCCCCTGAATGAATTTGAAGAATGGGTAACCGTGGCCTTTATACGAACAATCCAGGCACAGCTACAAGAGCGGAATGACCCTCAGCAGCTGCTGTTAGACTCCAAGCACATGTTTCCCATCTTGTTTCCATTCAACCCATCCTCGCTGACAATGAACTCAATCCACATCCCGGCCTATCTGAACCTGGAGTTCCTCAGCAAGGTCTGACGAGGCGTAGCCCCCGCCCCCGCCTGTGGCTCCATTTCCAGTGAGGGCAAGAAGGAAGCCTCTTATATATGGTGAAGTGAGGGGTCTGTTAAATCTGTAAAAGACTGAGAGCCCGTACAGAGTGCTGAACGATACGGAATAAGACACATTTGGCATTATTTTTTTGTACGTACTGCTCAGAATAAAAACACTTGAAGTATGGGGAAAAAAAGGGGGGGCACCTGGGTGGCTCAGTGGGTTAAGCCTCTGCCTTCAGCTTGGGTCATGATCTCAGGGTTCTGGGATCAAGCCCCGCATCTGGCTCTCTGCTCAGCGGGGAGCTTGCTTCCCGCTCTCTCTCTGCCTGCATGTGATCTCTCCCTGTCAAATAAATAAATAAATAAATTGGAAAAAAAGAACAGCATGGAGGTTCCTCAAAATGTTGAAAATAGAACTACCCTATGACCCAGCAATTGCACTGCTGGGTATTTACCCTAAAGATACAAATGTAGTGATCCGAAGGGGCACGTGCACCCGAATGTTTATAGCAGCAATGTCTACAATAGCCAAACTATGGAAAGAACCTAGATGTCCATCAACAGATGAATGGATAAAGTCTTTTTTTTTAAAGATTTTATTTGTTTGAGAAAGACAGAGTGAGTGCACAAGTTGGGTAGGGGCAGAGAGAGAGGAAGAAGCAGACTCCCCTGATAAAAGGCTTGATTCCCAGGACCTCAGAATTATGACCTGAGCCAAAGGCAGACACAACTGACTGAGCCACCCAAACGCTCCCTATGTAATTCAGTATTATGGAAATAAAATGTTTGTATTGAACACACTTTACTGCTTGAAGATCAGTTCTCCTGTTTTGTAATTTAAAATGACTTTAGGAAATAATAGGCATTTTGTATATACAACTTTATCATCGAAAGAATGACTAGAAATTTTCTATGACTTCAATAGAACAGTGGGCCTAAGTAATCCAGAGAGTTCCCAAATAATTTAAAAAAGGAATTTTGCTAGGTTAAAAAATTATTCTGAAAACAGGATGCTGCCTCTGGGAGTGTTGAGTGTGGTGAACGGTCTCTCTAGTGCAGTACTCGGATTGACTGAGGAGGGCCATGAAATAATTCTCTGGCTGGGGTAACAGTGGTATTTTATAATTCAGCGTAGGATCCCTATGTGAATATGTTTGTCAAAATTCACCAGAGTATAGTCGCAATTTGTTTACTTCACTGGACACGATTTTTTTTTTTAATTAACAGTATCGTTGTCTTCTATAGGCAGAACTTGTTCTCTTGACCTGACAATTTTTTTTAAAGACTTAATTTTTTTTTAGAGTAGTTTAGGTTCACAGCAAAACAGAGAGGAAGGTAGAGATTTCCCATGCATCCTCTGCCCCTCACATGCACAGCCTCCCCTATTATCAATATCACTCACCAGAGCGTACATTTGTTATAAATGATGAACTTACATGACACATCATAAATAACCAAAATCTATGGTTTACATTAGGATTCACTGGTGGCTTTGTACATTCTATGGGTCTGGATAAATGTACAATGACATGTATTCAGCATTATAGTATAATACGGAGTATTTTCACTGCTCTAAAAATCCTCAGTGCTCCACCTAGTCACCATTTCGCTCCACCTCATCCCCTACTCGCCCCTCTGGCAAATGTTTTATTGTCCTTATAATTTTGCCTTTTTCAGAATGCCATATGATTGAAATCATACAAGATGAAGCTTTTATTTTAAGATCTGCTTCTTTCACTTAATAATATGCATTTAAGTTTCCTCCATGTCTTTTCACAGCTTGATAACTCATTTCCTTTCAGTGAGGATGATATTGCATTGTTTGGCTATACTACAGTTCATTTAACCATCACCTACTAAGGGCATCCTGGTTGCTTCCAAGATTTGGCAATTATGAATAAAGCTGCTATAAACATCTGTGTGCAGGTTTTGTGTGGGTGTAAGTTTTCAAGTCTTTGGGTAAACTATATGTGAATTTCACCTTTAAAAAACCCCTGTAAGGAGCGCCTGGGTGGCTCAGTGGGTTAAGCCTCTGCCTTTGGCTCAGGTCATGGTCTCAGGGTCCTGGGATCGAGCCCCACATTGGGCTCTCTGCTCAGCAGGGAGCCTGCTTCCCTTCCTCTCCCCCTGCCTGCCTCTCTGCCTACTTGTGATCTCTCTCTGTCAAATAAATAAATAAAATCTTTAAAAACGAAACAAACAAAAAAAAACTAAAACCCTGTAAACAAATATTAAGCTCTAGTTAAATATATGCAAGAAATGTTCAGGGGTGATGTGTATTTATGTCTGGAACTTACTTTCAAATGCATAAAATGATGATTTATGAAATGGATAGAGAGCCTGATAATTAGACGTATATATGTAATAAAGCAACTATAGTAACATGTAAATTGTAAAATCTAGGCAGTGAGTATATTGGTATTTGCAAGAAATTTGCAGTCCTTCTGGCCTCGTGTCATGGAAGAAATCCGGAATTTAACAGTGAAAGATTTCCGAGTACAGGAGCTCCCACTGGCTCGTATTAAGAAGATTATGAAACTGGATGAAGATGTGAAGATGATCAGTGCAGAAGCCCCTGTGCTCTTTGCCAAGGCAGCCCAGATTTTTATCACAGAGTTGACTCTTCGAGCCTGGATCCACACAGAGGATAACAAGCGCCGGACGCTACAGAGGAATGATATCGCCATGGCAATTACAAAATTTGATCAGTTTGACTTTCTCATCGATATTGTTCCAAGAGATGAACTGAAACCTCCAAAGCATCAGGAGGAGGTGCGCCAGTCCGTGACTCCTGCCGAGCCTGTCCAGTACTACTTCACGCTGGCTCAGCAGCCTGCCGCCGTCCAGGTCCAGGGGCAGCAGCAGGGCCAGCAGACCAGCAGCTCCACAACCACCATCCAGCCTGGGCAGATCATCATCGCGCAGCCTCAGCAGGGCCAGACCACACCCGTGACCATGCAGGTGGGAGAAGGCCAGCAGGTGCAGATTGTTCAGGCTCAGTCCCAGGGTCAGGCCCAGCAGGCCCAGAGCAGCAGCAGGCAGACCATGCAGGTGATGCAGCAGATCATCACGAACATGGGAGAGATCCAGCAGATTCTGGTGCAGCTGAATGCCGGCCAGCTGCAGTACATTCGCTTAGCCCAGCCTGTATCAGGCACCCAGGTCGTGCAGGGACAGATCCAGACACTTGCCACCAACACTCAACAGATCACGCAGACAGAGGTGCAGCAAGGACAGCAGCAGTTCAGCCAGTTCACAGATGGGCAGCAGCTCTACCAGATCCAGCAAGTCACCATGCCTGCCGGCCAGGACCTCACCCAGCCCATGTTCATACAGTCAGCCAACCAGCCCTCCAACGGGCAGGCTCCCCAGGTGACCGGCGACTGAGGGCCTGAGCTGGCAAGGCCAAGGACACCCAACACACTTTTTGCCATACAGCCCCAGGCGATGGGCACAGCCTCCCTCCCCAGAGGACACGGCCGACCTCCATGCCTCCTGCCGGCTAGGACACTGGTGCACTACGCCCCATGCCTGGGGGCCAAGATTCTCCAACAGAAAGATGCAATATTTTTTATTTCCTTTTTTTCCACTTTTTCTCCAAGGAATCAATATTTCAATATGTTGAGCTGTGTGTCCAATGCTATGAAATGAAAATATTAAATAACATATTTATGGCATTTTCTTGAAGAGTGTGGTTGAAGAAATACTTCTTTTGTTCTCTCTCTCTCTTTTTTTTATTCTTACTGCTACTTCTTTTCAGGAGCAAATCTCCTCAGGGGGTATGTTATCTCCAGATTTTTGGAACAGCTGCTGCCCCCAGGATTTGCCATCTTGTTCTGCCCTCAGATTGAGTTAGGTGCCTGCGTAGCTTCCTCTTCACTAGTGGTCCTCTTGACTCTGCGCTTGTCCCAGAGCTCTGTGTGTCTGCACCCAGAGGCCATGGAAACATTCCTTGCATTTAAGAGATGAACTCATTCGCCATGGAGAGTGGATGGTTTCATTTCCAAACCCTTCTCTCCCAGGGACCGAAGGAGACTAGAACTTCGTGCATTTGCCCACCCCCACCCCCATTTTTTTTTAAATACATTAAAAATTGTGCTAGTCTCCTTTGCTGCATGGACTTCAAACTGCATGAAATGCAATAAATCTCATTTTAGATAAAAAAATAACTTTATTAAATTGTTTTAGAATAAGTCTGGATCAAAATATTAATTATATTGTCAAAATCTTTTTTACTATTTTTATGTCCTCATGTAAAAAATTTCTGTGTTTATAAATTAAACTCTAGCTGTGATGGTGGGTCTATTTCTCCTTTATATTTCAATTTTTATTTATATTTTTTGAGATTTTGTTAGTAAGTCCATTTACATTTTAACTTGTTAGATATTCCTTGTAAAGGAAATCTTTTACCATAAAATTTATATTTTTCACTTCTAACCCTTTTGTGTATTCGTTTTAGGATTTAGATTTTTAAAAATATACACCAAACTTTCTCTTTTAGTTGGGATTTTTAAAACAATTTTATTTATCATATGGAATATTTAAGAAAGTTATTCTGTGCTGGCTAATAAAGCAGTTTTCAATAAATTTCAATGTTTACTATTTCTCCACATATTGACCACATTCAGTGTGATTAAGAGAAAAATCAGTGACAATAACTATGGAAAACCTCCATTTTGGAAATTAAGAAACAAGCTATGTAACTCATGGATCAAGAAAGAACTCAAAATAGAGGTTAAGAAATATTTTGAGTGGTACTATAATGAAGATCCTATATAAAAAATTTGAGATATATAGATAAACCAGCAAAGGGAAATTTATAGTCCTAAATGCTTATATTAGAAAAGAAAAAGGGGTGCCTGGGTGGCTCAGTGGGTTAAGCCTCTGCCTTCAGCTCAGGTCATTATCTCAGGGTCCCGGGATTGAACCCAGCATCAGGCTCTCTGCTCAGCAAGGGACCTGCTTCCCCCCTCTTTCTTTGCCTACCTCTCTCCCTACTTGTGATCTCTCTCTCTCTCAAATAAATAAATAAAATCTTAAAAAGAAAAGAAAAAGGCCTGGAAATAAATAAGTTAAGCATTCATCTCACTAAGTTAGTAAAAGGAATAACAAAATAAATCCCATGAAAATAGAAGAAAATAAAGCAAAAGAGCAGGAATTGATGAAAATAAGCAAATAGGTATAATAGAAGCAACAACGCCAGAGTTTGGTTACTTGAAAATATTAGTAAAATTGACAAATTTGTATCAAGGACTTTGACAGAAAGATAAAATAACATGAATAATATTAGGAATGAAAAAAGATCATTTAACTCAGGTGCTACAGACATTAAAAAGATCAAAGAATATTTTGTCTAACTTTGTTCAGGTAAGTTTGAAATTTTAGATTAAATGTAAAAATCCCTTAAAAACTGCTTCTCTAAACTCTCTCAAAAAGAAATACTTGGGGCGCCTGGGTGGCTCAGTGGGTTAAAGCCTCTGCCTTCGGCTCGGGTCATGATCCCAGGGTCCTGGGATCGAGCCCCACATCGGGCTCTCTGCTCTGCGGGGAGCCTGCTTCCTCCTCTCTCTCTCTCTCTCTGCCTGCCTCTCTGCCTACTTGTGATCTCTGTCTGTCAAATAAATAAATAAAATCTTTAAAAAAAAAAAAAAGAAAGAAATACTTATTCCTGAAACACCCCAACATCATTAAGTATATCAAGTCAGTAGGTTAAAATCTCACTAAGAAAATCCTAGACCCAGAGAGTTTTGCTGGAGAACTCTCTAAAACAGAAACATATACTATATAAATGATAGAAGAACAGGGAATACTCATTCATTCTTTTTTTAGACTAGTATTACTTGATGCTTAATAGCTATGAAGGTAAGCACACTAGTTTTCCAGGGCTGCCATATCAGAATACCATAGACTGGGTAGCCTAAACAGGATTTTAGTTTCTCAAAGTTCTGGAGACTGGTTGTCCAAGATCAGGTGTTGGTAGGGTCTGTTACTGGTGAGGGCTTTCTTCCTGGTTTGTAGATGGCTGCCTACTTGCTATGTCCTCACATAACTTCTTCTCTGTGCATGCACACAGAGAGATCTCTTTGTCTCTTTCTCTCTTTTTTTTTTAAGTAGGTTCCACTCTCAACTTGGCGGTTTAAACTCTCAACCTCAAGATCAAAAGCTGCATGCTCTACTGAATGAGTCGGCCAGTGTCCCTCTTCTTATAAGGTTACTACTCTTTTCAGCTTAGGGCCCCATCCTTCTAACACTATTTAATCTTAACTGCCTCACTAAAGACCCTCTCCCCAAATATAGATAGTTAGATTAAGAGTTAAGGCTTCAATTTATGAATTTCGGAGGACACAATGTAATCTACAATATGTGTATTATTCAGCTTTTTATAAAATTAACATATAATGTATTATTTGTTTCAAGGGTACAGGTCTGTGAGTCATCAGTCTTACACAGTTCACAGTACTCACCATAGCACCTACCCTTCCCAATGTCCATCACTCAGCCACCAAATCCCTCTCACTTCCCTCCCCTCCAGCAACCCTCAGTTTGTTTCTTGAAATTAAGAGTCTCTTATGGTTTGTTTCCCTCCCCAGTCCCATCTTGTTTCATATTCAGCTTCTCCATATAAACAGAACCAACAGAGTGTGCAGAGAGACATTTATTTTAAGGAATTGGCTTATTCAGTTGTGGAGGTGGGCATGTCCATAGTCTTCAGGCTGGGCTGGCAGCCTGGAGACTCAGGGAAGAGTGAATGTTGCAGTTCAAATGTGAAGGCCTTCTGTGGACACAATTTCTTCTTGATCAAGGAAGGATAGTCTTTGTTCTTTTAAGGACATAGACTGATTGGGTGCAGCCCACCCCCATCATGGAAAGCAATCAGCTTTATTCAAAGTCCACCAATTTTAACATTAATTCAAAAAATGCTCTGTGGAAATATCCAGAATAATATTTGACCAAAAATCTGGGTACCATGGCCCAGACAAGTGGATACCTAAAATTAACCATCACAGTATGAACAAGAAAATTATGAGCCAATCTTATTCATTTAAGTACATATAAAAGATTAAAAATTAGCAAACCAAATTCAGTAATGTACTAAAAATTATGATCTTGGAATTATTCCATGTTTACAGGAATACAAAGTTGGTGTAAAATTATCAACTAAGTATTTTATCTAGTTTATATACTAAAATAGAAAAATGTTTGAATCTTCTCAATTCTTAGTAAACTTGGAAGAAAGAAAGGGCATCTACTAAAAGCCTACATTAAGAAGTGTATGTGGATACTTGATACATAAGAGAGGTGGTATTGCAGAAGAGTGAAGAAAAAATGGACTTCTCAAAAAAATTTAATTGGCATTATTGTTTATCCATATGGAAGAAAGTCAAATTGGGTCTTTGCCTCAAAGCATACCTCAAAATCAGTACAGATTAAAGACTGCAAAATGTGAAATGCAAAATGTGAAATGCAAAATGAAAACTAAATCGGAGGGCAAGATGAACCATGAGATACTGTGGACTCTGAGAAAGAAACTGAGGGTTTTGTAGGGTAGGGGGTTAGGGGGTTAGGTGAGCCTGGTGCGAGTATTAAGGAGGGCATGTATTGCATGGAGCACTGGGTGTGGTGCATAAATGATGAATCTTGGAACACTGAAAAAAAAAACATTTAAATATCTTTGTGCCCTTGGGTATGGGGACAGATTTCTGAACAAGTTCCAAGAAGTACAAAGTATAAAACAAATGGCTGGTAAGTTTGACTCTATTAATATTTAAAACTTATAGTTTAAAAAAAAACAAAACTACAAAGCGGGAGTGTTAGCAACCTGTGAAAATAGACACGTGTGTGAGTGTGTGTGTGTGTCTTGAATATATAAACAACTACAAATTATTAAGAAAAAGATAAATTGGTAGATAATGAGAAAATAATTAAATTTATAGAAGATGAAGAAGAAAATTCCATTAAGTAAACATAAGATACTCAACCTTATTAGTTAGAAAAATGTGAATTCAACCCACAATGAAAAACATAATCTCACCCATGAGAATAGCAAAAAGTAAAAGAACCAAAAGACAAAAAGAACCCAGACAATATAAAATGTGAGATTTTAGAGTTTGAAACTGTTTTTGAGCTCTTTTGGATCAGTTTGCAAATACCTTGTAAAGTTAAACAAGTGCACGCACTACAATGTAGTGGTTTTGCTTCTGGGTATATTTCTCACAGAAAGTCTCACATACAAGTACCAGGTGTTTATAGAACTGCTCATAATAGCAAAATTGAAAAGTATCCAAGTTCTCATCAACAGTAATATGAACAAATATAAACAAATATGTTCATATTCAAGAATATGATATAAGGGCAGAAATGAACTACAATGACACATATCAACTTGGATGAATCTTAGAAACATAATTTTAAGTGAAAGAACTAAGTCACATTAACAGTATAATTCCATTCATATAAGGTTTAATAGTTTTAAACTATTATC